AATGACAACTTTTAGGTGATGGTACAACTTTACAAGCTAGCAGCACCTGCAGTTGGTACTGAGAAGGCTTCAAATTATTTCTGAGGTATTGTGTGAGTAAAGTAACTTTGACCCCAGAATATGGAAAAAGGAGCATATGATTCCAATAAACTATAAGTGATTGAAAAGAGGGGTTTTTGCCCAGTTTTGGTGGGAAACGGGCTAAATCACCAAGACTTTTGATGAGTCACTTTAGTTATATCTTGGTAAGCTTTGTTCTTAAAAGAGGGGGGTAGCTCTGCATGCTTCTTCAGTGTGTTAGCATATGCCCTTTCCAATTGCTCTACGAATGTGTTGCTATCCATTTCCATAGTGTCAGCTGCAGTAGTATGATATGGTCTTCAGAGGACTGGTTATCGTAAGGGTCAGTCTCCTCCATCAGAGGGAGGTCCATCATCAGGGTTATCATATGGTGGTCCTCATTCTCCTCCAGAAGGGCCAGGTGCACCAGTGGGTTTTGCTGGTTCCTTTCCCTTATCCTTTGATATAGATAGAGCATAGTATTTCACATTACGAGCATCGGGTCACTCCAGTACTTGGCTTCTTTCCCTTTCCCTTGCTAGGGCCATCAATATTCCTCGTTCTAAGTGGACAACTTCAATAGCTGCTTTGACTACTTCCCCAATGACCATATCCATCCTCTTATCAAGTTGTTCAAATACCCAATAAATGTATTTCTCCGCTTCTTTGTGGCTGATTTCTTGCTGCTTTGCTGCATTACTAATTGCCTTTTGGAGGTCTCTCATCCTTCCATCAAAGGCTTTCTTGGATCTTTGCCATCTAGCGACATGGGATAGGTCTTGTTGTCCTTGGCAAAGGGTTTGTTGCTCCAGACGAGAATCTAGCTTTTGAATAGCCAAGTACAGGTATTCGTCTCTTGCTATGGATTCTTGGCTGCTTTGCCCAATGTTCTATTGTAATTGAGAAGCAATATTTCAATATTGGTCATGTTGACCTTGATGTCTGTAAAGTGCTTGCTCCACAACCTAGCTATAATGGTCGAATGTTCTAGAGACTTCTACCTGCAATTCTTGGCCTTGCTTATTCCATTTTGTCATCTCATCTGCAATGGTAGTTTCAGCTGCTTTAAGTCTTTCTTACAGTTTCATCAGACTGTCAGCGATTTGTCTTCCTCTATCAGACAAGGTATAGTAAGCTATCATGCCGTCATTTTTGGTTTCATGGACTGTTCAGTCTAGTTGACTTATCTATTATGATACCAAGGCAGCGAAGGCTGCATCCAATATTGGTGGCGGTACAGGTGAGGGCGAAAAGGACCTCGGTGCAAGGTGTGGTCGCCCTTCTAGTGGGCTTGGTTGCCTTGGAGTAAATGGTGAAGGTGCCTGTAGGATAACTGGAGAGTCTTCCATAGGGACCTCTGTAATGGTTCTTTAAGCCATTGTAGGTATAGAAGAGTAATGAGGAGGCTTGCATCTCCTAAAGGCTTTTGTAACCAGAGGTTATCAATATAGTGTTAGGCAGCAGCCAATTCTAAGCCAAATGAATTGTAACTGGGGCCAATAAGGTTTCTCAGAGAGTGGTCAAGAAAGCTCGTAACAAAAGTAGGTATGAAAGTATAAGGAATATATTAATAAGATCTCTTCTCTGTTCACTAATGATTCTGAAAGCTGAGAAGGCACCTCGGTATTTATATTCCATGTCTGGGTGGTCGTGGGCTACATCTATCTATTACCAAACAATATATGTTCTCTATTTCTTTCCCCTTACTATCAGAATAGGGACCTGTTTGACCCTAACAAACTTTAGGTCTTGGTCAGACTATGGTCTTCGTGTATTATCGTGTTTCCATGAGAGTGTTTCAAACCTCTCTGGTGAAAAGGCACGATTTCTTTGTCTTAGAGGTTTAAGTATGAGTGGGTGATCTCGCTTCAAGCTAGCTCATCATCCTCCTTTCTCTGACTGAAGTGATCAGCTCCGTCAAGGGACTGATCAATATGTCGTTGACTTCGTAACCCAACTAGTATATTGACTTTGAGGACTTTCTGCCATGATCAGACTAGTCAATGTTGTAAGAAAGTTCCTCAACGACAGGTAGGTCTCCAATTAACTCTATACCATACTAGCACTAGACTGGGCCTAGTGCCTTGTCCATATGGGCATGTCCCGATAACTTATTGGACTGTTGACGATTTCGTCCCAACACATTCTACCCATGTCCGAGATGGTCAATCTTGCTTAGCTCATAGTTCCATGGTTGCCTGTCCGATTTTCTCCGTTCTAGCTTTTAGACATGGCCTAAAGTCCCCTCTTATATATCCTGCCAACACATTCTGGTAGGATAGACAGTGATAATGTATACAGTGTAATGAAGCATGCTTCATTTCAACCAGTTTATACTGTTGGGACACCAAATCCCAGTGATACTATTACTATGTGCAGGCCTAATGGCAGGGCTAGAGGGGGGTGTTGGCTGTGGCATTTTTGCGGTTTTCAGGAGGTCTGTGTGTGGGGAGGTCTGTGCATTCAAATGTGTAACAGGAAAACCCCCAGCCCGACAGTGAGACCAAGTTAGACTCCCTACAATCCTCAAGTCCTAGAAAGGAAAAAGAGTGCTCTCCACACTCTCCCACTCCCATAGCTAAACCACATTGACCTATACCTCAGCTACCCCGGAATACCCCTCCCACCCTGGTATAGAGCAAGAGAAAAAATAGTAGCTATGCCATGTGGAGAGAGGAGACAGAGGGTAGACAATCGCAGATACAAAAGGCTAAGGGAAGAAGTACCAGAACCCAAGAGAGGATGATAAGTCAGGCCATATAGTAAGCCAGAGGTAGCCCTGTGCCTACCAAAATACAGAGTAGATGGGCAGTAAGGTGCCAGCTGAGGTGTGGATACTAACTCCTAGAGGACAAAGCCATGATAAAGAGAGTCAGAGCTAAAGGAGGGAGCAGCTGAGGTCACCTGGTAGAGGGGATGCCAGCCCAGTAGAGAGGATACTAGTAGGAGAGGAAGGATGATACCATGGTTAGTATCAGAGCCATTCAAAGTAGAAGCCAACCAAAGCCAGTGGGGAGCAAGCAGATAGAAGACCTGCTACATGGTGGTGAGGAGGGCCCTCAGGACCCAGGAAGTAGGGTGCCAGCTGATCCAAGGAGGAGAGGAGGAGGAAGGTCCAAACCAGGTGATATGTACCTAACGATACTACAGGAACTGGCTGTAACCAGGATTACAGGAATTAGCCCTTCATCTAAACAAAGCACAGTGTATTACCACTTCTCTCATGTAGCTCCTTGTTCTCTGAGAGAAAGCATCACTTAGTGGATAGAATACCACTATCATGCAATGTAATGAGGTAGGGGCAGGCCTCCAATAGCCCAGAGGACTACTAAGAAGACTGACCGTCAGACCATCCTCTCTCAGAAGAAAGCTGACTTTGCAAATGCTAAGTGAGCCTAGCAAAAGCAGGGTAAAGAGGAGAAAGGAGTATTGTGAAAATCCCCAGGAGAGAAAAGGGCTACTCAGGAGCCACAAGGGTGAGTAAGGGAGGGGGAGGAGGAAGGACAACCTAAATGGGGGTGAAGGATGGAGTGGCAGAGGCCTACACTACCCCAGTAGGGAGAGTGTACTACTGAAAAAGTGGTGATAGTTCTCTGGCATTGAGTCGTTCCCAAATAAAAAATATTTTTCAATGACTGGAGTTGTAGCAGAGATAGAGGATGGCAAAGACATACCAGTACTAGTACTGCACTTGTACCTCCAAGTCAAGAAATGTGAATAGACCCCTCGGAGCCATAAAAATTTTAGCATTTGAGCCATTTCAAAGACTCTATTACCAGTGACACAAAATAGAGTGCCAGATAATAAGTGGGAGTTGCCACTGGCACGGTAGTGACAGTGTGCAATCCCTCGGGCTACAAGAGCATCTTCAAGACTATACTCTCTATGGCCCCGGTGGAGGCTATTCCAAAAGAGGTGCCAATTCTTGGCGCGGAGGCACGAGTACGGTATGTACTAGTACAGGACCGTGCTGTATCGTACTGTACAGCTGCAGTTATCCCAAGCCTGCAGAATCTGTACGAGTACTATAATAAGAGTGAAAGTCACAGTACCGGTAGCCCGTCCGCTCGGCACACCTACCGTATTCCCGCCAAGAAATGATGAAATGAAATATACTACACGAGTACTTTATGGTGTGATAGGACTCGTACCTTATCAGTGATCACCGACACAGGGATCGAAGAACCCATTTTAAAAATAATACCGGTATTGTACGCTACTCAAAAAATTCAAAAAAAATATATTATGGAAGAAAACACGAACGCCTGGGTTCCCACGCCTGTCTTTTTTCGACAGTTAGACTGTTGCCATTATTTGTCTACCAGACACGACACTTCACATCAGGATGGGGGTCACCATGGAGGTATCGAAATTGCAGGCAGACGCACCCTTTACCATCCCCTTGTTTTCTTTTCTCTCCAAAGTTTCCTTATTTCACCCCACTCCCTTCGTATAGTTCTTTCTTCCTTGCTCCTCAACCAACAATTGCTAATCGCTCCCTCGGGCACCGCATGCAAGTTACGCAGGATGCAAGCAAGCAGGAAGAAGCAAAGGGAAAAAGAGAAGGAAAAGGAAAAAATGTTCCGGCTGCAGCAGGAAGACTACGAGTACAGTGCGGTGCGTACCCTGCCTCTCGGCCCCGCAGGGTTTGCAGCCTGGGTTGTTATCACTAATGCCGGGAATCTTATTCATCGCGAGGGTTTTCGTCTTTTCCTCCTACGGGAATTTGGTTCTCATTCTTTTAAAATTGACTGGGATTGTCGCCTACCCGTTTGGGGCTGCCCGCCAGCTACTCGAATATGACGGACGTATCGTAGTGTACTATGATAGTAACTTACAGTGTGACTGCAGGTCTTATAGAAGTATTGTATGCCGAGTGCAGACGATCCACCACGAGGTTCCATCCAGTCCTATGGATCTGTTTCGTATAAACAGACCCTGGCCCCCGGAAGCACCTCTTTTTTCTTTCTTTTTTTCGCTCTGGTTGGCCAACGTTGATCGCCGCCGGTCTCCCCACCCCTCCGCCCCACTATTAATACTATTATTATTTTTTTGTTGTCTTTTCCCGTCCGATATTGTGGCCTATCCTGTAAAGCTCTCCATGCCGTCCCCTGATTCCTTTTTTCCTAAGAGAAGAAGAAAAGAAACTTCTACCTTCCATTTCCGTTTCCCCTTGCCCTTTTTCCCCTTCTTCTTTTGTCAACACCCAACCAAATCGATACCGATCTGTCAAACATCATCGACCCAAGGTACTTACAGAAGCAGTCCCCCCGTGTCAAACGTGTCAATCCGCTTGCTGTTCAGGCCGCGAGATTGCTTATGCAGAGGGTCCGGGTCGGGTTGTCTGCTTGTCAGCGCTCTCCCCAACATCCATCCTGTCCGCTTGACCCTTCTGGCCTCAATTCTTCCTCATTTCCGCCCCTCAAACGGGCTCCCCCCCTCCTCCTACATGCGCTGTACGAGTACTAGTACTATGGTTGTGATTCCATCATCATCATCACCGTCGTCCTACTTCCTGCCCCACCCCCACTACTTCCACTCGTAGTTATTTGCTCCTCCCGCACGTAGATCCATCCCTTCTCCTTCCCTTCTCCTTCCAATTCCTATCCTCCCTTCCCGCACATCATCCCCTCAGATTCTACCCCAGTCAATCAGCAGTACCGTAACCACCTCTCCACCTTCCCAACCCACTCAACATAACCACAATCACAGCCTATCACTACAAATTCACTACTAAAAAAACTACCAATACAATCCTTTGGCTTTCCTTCCTTTTTAAAATTACGACGGTACCGGCCCCACCCCTGCTTCTCATCTTTCCGCTCTCTCCTGCGCCTGGCGTCTTGCTCCTTAGACAACTGGTGGTTGCCGTTATCTTGCGAGTCTAGCGTCTCCCGCCAGTCAGCAGACCGAGAAAATCCGAGTCGCACAAAAAGGGGTGCTTTAGCACAGAAATCTCCCCCCAGCAGCAGCTCTTATAAGATATCCGGGCTTCCAAGTTCCAACACGGGCGAACAGCTGATTGGAAAGGAAGAATAAGTGAGAGGAAAAAAAGAAAGAAGAAAAAAAAGAGAGGAGGGGAAGAATATAATAATCCATTAGCTCTCTACCCCCCCCCATCCATACCGCAGACAGACGGATACAGAGGAGAGAAAATCAAACCGAACGTCTGGTTTCGGTCTCGGCTTTCTAAACCCTAGCATCCTACACCTCTTCCCCCTACCTACAGTACTTCTTCCCCTCCTCCCATTTTCCTGGTTCTTCTGTTCCGGTTGGGATTCAACAGCTCGAATACCTCTGACCCTCTCGACCTTTGATCCTTTCTACCCCTTGAGAGTCCCCTCCCCCTACACAATGTCAGTGCGCGCGTACTTCCCACACCCAAATCATCCGGATCAACCCCACAACGGACGCCCTCATGGTATCCCCCCAGCTCTGTCAATGACTCGGGCATCATCGTCCTCATCCTCCTCGCAGTCAGTCCCGACAGCAAACAATGGACTGATTCAAGGTCTTCAGCAACCTCCCTCCCAATCATGCAGAGGCGATGGAAATCGTATCTACAGCTTAGAAGTCAAGCAGCAGCCCATCAGGGCAAGGATGTGTGGCTTCGGTGATAAGGTAGGATACACAATACTTAAAAAGAGATTCCATTTCTCTCGTGACGATAGAAGCACCACGTGCTGACGGGTTTCCGCAGGACCGACGGCCCATTACTCCCCCGCCTTGCGTGAGACTAGTGGTGAAAGACGCGACTACCGGCAAGGAGGTTGATATCAAGTGAGTCAACAGATGCCGTTTACCCCCTCCCCAATTACCGGTATGCAACTTCCCGACTAAACGTCTACGGTAAATTAGTGAGGTAGACACTTCCTTCTATGTCTTGACGGTAGATCTGTGGTCTGCGGATGCATCCCGCGAGGTCAATCTCGTCCGACATTCTGCTACCTCCCCCTCGATCTCGGCTGCGACTTCTTCATCATATCCCCCACCGCCCGCTACCCCACCACCCCTTCATCCTCAAACCACAACCCATGAGAACCACATTCCCCCCCACCAACAGCAGCTGCAGAGTCAGGGCTATCCTCCTCCACCTCCACAACAGCAGCTACAACATCAACACGCCTATCCGGGATATCCTGCTCCTCCGCACGCAGCACTACCACCACCACCACCACCACCGCAGCAGCAAGTTTACTATCAACCCCCCCCCAGCGCGCAGCCCTATTATCCGGGCATGCATGCCCCTCCACCACAACAGCCCCCCCAGCAGACCCCCTCAGGCATGTTCACAAGAAACCTGATCGGGAGTTTGAGTGCCAGCGCATTCAAACTAACCGATCCAGACAACAAAATTGGTGTGTGGTTCATTTTACAGGATCTATCCGTCAGAACCGAAGGCGCGTTCAGGTGAGATTTCTACCCGCAATAGTTTCACCACAACCCAGTAGTTTTCAAAATTTACACTAAATACGTGCATAGATTGAAGATGAATTTCGTTAACGTGGGGCGGGTGGATGGTGGAGGGCTCAACACTGGTTCAGCTCCCGTTCTAGCAAGCGCTTTCTCGGATATTTTCCAAGTATTTAGTGCGAAGAAATTCCCTGGTGTGATTGAGAGCACAAATCTTAGCAAGTGCTTTGCAACTCAAGGTAGAACCCATTTCGTTTTGGGGGGTTTTCTTGTTGCGTACGCTGAACATCGCGTGATTAGGTATCAAAATCCCGATACGCCGTGATAAGGGTGATGGACCCGAAGTTTGAGCAGAAACTGAGACTTGAAAAAAAAAAAAAAAAGAAGGTGATTGAGTGTGGAAAGGGGAAGAAAAAAGCAAGAAAATAAAAGGAAAAAAAAGCGGTATCTCATTCAAACGGGTATTTGGATTTGGGCATCAGTTCCCGGAGTAAGTTTTTGGAGGGTTTATAACTGGATCATGCATGGCTTTATGTTGCCTTTATTTTTTTTAATTCGTTATGCCCCATGATACCGATCGGGTCTTCTTTTGTTTTTCACCTTTTCTCCCTTTTTGTTTTTTTGCCCATTGTTTGTTTTCCATTTCCTTTCCACCTACTTGACTCTATTGGTTCGCAATGGTCTATTTTTATCTCTTCTCTGCTTTTGTTTGTTTTGAATGTTTGACCTACCATATCCATTGCATGTTTCCAGTAACTTTTATATCGCTCCTCCCCCACTTATATATATCCCCTGGATTTCCTTTCTCATATTTTTATCCTCAATCCCTTCTCCGGGGGTAAAGGTCGAAGATTACCCGGCCGTCGCGTCATGCGCTTTTTCCCACATTAGCTTATCATACCACATCATAAGAGATTTAATCGTCGTTTGTTTAGGGCTGTGGGTTCTCTAGTACGGCCCAACTAGAGCCTAACTTAGGCCACTGGATTAGTGGAGATCTTTCTGGATAGGGGACACGAACGGTGCCTTAAATTTGTGAATGCAGTGCCTTCGGGTAATGCGTCAGGGATAAGATTGGGGTATCATACAATACAAATTAACCGTGTACTTTCATGATATTACACAAGCGGTTTGAGCTTCTTCTTGATGCCCAGAGCAGCACCCATGTCCCGTCTCCTCTTTACAGTCTTCTTGAAAGATGGGATGTCAGCCTTGGCTTCCTCTTTCGAGGGGACTGCCTCGTCCGCGCCGTCATCGATCACCCTCCGAACAAACATGTCCTCCTCCGTCCTGAACGCCTTCCTAGCAGACTCGGCGTCCTCCTCCTCCTGTCGCAACAGCTCTAATTCCGCCGGATCCGAGACCTCCAGAAGCGTGTCCAGCACATCTGCCGAGTCGAGCCGCTCGTTCCGGGCATTCCTTGTCCTGATCTCGTCCAGGGCGTCGGCAATCTGCATCTCCCGCTTCGAGTCGAGGGTCTTGGTCTCTAGCTTCGCCATGGCACTCTCGTTCTCCTCCTCTTCTAGTCGATTCAGACGTTCTTCTTCCGTTTCGTCTTTCTCCCGGGTATCCCTCCACGGCTCGAAGTTACGGATAGCACCCTTCTCGCACGTGTAGTCCATGTTCTTTGGGTCTGTCTTGAAGGTGACCTCCGACGAGCATCTGGTGCAGCGAATATAGAATCGGAAGATGGAGATGTTGTAGTATTCTGTTATTATTATTATCGCAATTAGTCAGCCATTCTCTACTAGTGGCAACATCTTGAAATTATGCATCGTTGTACCACTTACTCTCGCCAGAGTGCTCTTTCCGAGCATTGAATTTACGGCCCTTGTAGATGAATTCCCCACAGTTCAGACATTTCATGCTAAAGGGTGCCATTAGGCGGACGGTTTGCTGTTTTGGTCCCGTTGGCTTCGGGCCCTTGTGGCGGACGATCTTTGAGGGATCGAAGTCCGGGGGGTAACTGGTTTGTAGGACTTAGTAAGCTTAGATGGGACTGTGCTATGTGTGGGGAACAAGGACTCACTATTTCTGAAGCACCTTTCGCTCAGACATGGCGAGAGCTGTGTAGCCGGTATTTACTCTGCGGCTGCGATCGTGGTTGTGGGTATACTGAAGTGGAAGTGACAATGAGGTTATTGTGGGTGAGGTTTGGTGGACGTTGAAGTGGGCGGTTAAGCGATGCGATGGATAGAAAAATCGCCCCCAAAGAAATTTACTTGTATCTGATAACAATACCATCGCCAAGAGATAAGATAAGTTGCCGAACAAGATCTCCGGCCAATTGTTCGTTCACTAGCCGATTTCAAAGATATCGGGCCATCCGGGTGCCAAGACAGCGGAGAAGGGTGCCAAGACGTCCGGATACTGTACTCGGGGGGTGCAGTTAGTCGGGCGACACCCATATATGGTAACTAGGGTTCTACACCAAAGAAACGTGTTCTGGGCGGATTTTTTGTTAGAGAGAAAAAAGTCCGGCGACACCCAGAATAGGCAATAATCTCAGACATTTTGTGGCACGTCGCCGCACTTACCCCTGTACCCGAGTACTATTTTTGAAATCGGCTAGTACCGTACCAGTACTCGAGTACCAGCGCCGGTATGTAGCCGCGTCACAAGCTAGAAACCCAAAAAGTTAAAACATTCAAAAACCCGAATTGCTTCAAGTAATCTTCAACCTCAATTCCATCTTTTTCCTTCCTTCTTCTTCAAACAAAATGCCCAGACTTTCGACGAGTTCTCCGGGAACCTCTCGGCCTCCTACGTCTACGAGTCGTCCAAGAACTTCGCGACCAAGGACTGCTACCTCCACAGCTGGGGGAGGAGTTCAACAGGTTGTTTGTGCAGTTACGGAGTCTCGTGGAATATCGGCTATTATCGGCTTGTGCTTTGTGAATACTACCACTGGTGAATTGGCTGCTACCGTGACAATGATTATGATAACAAAGGCTGGGAAAGCCCTCTGTGTTCTTGCTAACTATTCGTAGGCGAATGCGTATTGAGTGAGATCTGTGATACTCAAACGTATGTGAGGACCATGCAGAAATTGACTGTATTTGACCCGACGGAGGTAAGTTGGAAGATGACACTTTACCCAAATATCCGCTGTGACACTAAGAGTTTTATTGTATTGTTGTTATTCTCCACTACTTTTTATTTATTTTTCCCTACTCTTTCGCTGTCTAGCTGCTAACACGCGGAATATCGTTTCCTATGATTATGATTGTGTTAAGATCCTCGTTTCTCCCGCCGCTGTTGCACCTCCAAAATCGACACTATTGTCAATTATTGAGGACTATGTTCCCGGTGCAACGATCACGGAAGTCCCTAGGAGATATTTCAACGAACGGAGCGGTCATGATTATATCCAACAATTGGCTTTCCCAGATGAAGTTGCCAGCATCAAGGTTGCCATTTCTGGGAAGTTCTATGCTATATCTGCTGCGGCGGCGGCACTAAAACATATAGAGGTTTCTTACATAAGATTTGCCCTGCATTCTCTGAGAGTGAAGTACCAAGGAAGCGAAGGTTTGTTTTGTTGTACGGACACTTGCTTTGTTTATTAGCCTTTAGTTTCCGAGACACGCTCTGTCGGACTGACGATTATTGACAGGCTCGATGTTGATTGATTTCAGTACGGTCCATAGTCTTGAGCTCATACAAAATCTTCAAAACCCAAAGTCTACTGATTGTCTTTTCGGGTTATTGAATAATACACTCTCAGCTATGGGGGCACGACTGCTTCGGGCCAGCATTCTGCAGCCTCTGACCGACCTCTCCACACTAAATGCAAGGCTTGATGCGGTGGAGGAGTTTACTCAACACGAAGAGATGTTTTCCCAAGCAAGGCAGGCATTAAAACCAATTCTTGATATGGACAGACTTCTCACTGCGGTATTACCTGGACTGTATTTTTTTATTTTTATTCCCCCCCCCCTTTTTTTTTGCTTTTGGGGTTCTGTATTGTATTTATGTGAGCTAACAATCACAGCTTATTACCATGCCGGTCAAACCTAGTTTAAAACACTCTGAGCAGGCGATCAACAATATCATCATACTGAAGCAATCGTTATCGTCCATTGGTCCGGTCTATGACAGCCTCAGTTCTGCCAGAAGTTGGCTGCTGGTTTCCATTCGTAATGTATATCATATCTTCCTGACACTACATGTCGGCTGTGTTTGACACATGCTTCTCCAGCTTTGTGAGTCAGACCAAATTGAACCGGTCCGGGATTTGATAAACAGTATCATAAATGGGGATGTGGCCTTTTCAAAGAGTCCATTGGACCTTCGTAACCAGAGATGCTATGCGGTAAAGGTATGTCATGTTGGATTCATTGGATTGCCGCACGTTACCGGCGGCTGCTAACATTGTTTGGCGGTCTGAAAAAGAGTGGCGTGAACGGATTACTCGATGTTGCTAGGCAGGTCTACAAAGAGGTCACTGAGGACGTGCACCAATTGGCTGAAGATATGTCTAAAGAGTATGATCTGCCTCTAGAACTGAAATATGAGGCCGGGAGAGGCTACTATTTACGCCTCCCCGCTTCCGAGATTGAGGATAAACCACTTCCGCCAGTCTTTGTGAACGTGGTAAAGAGGAAAAAGATTGTGGAGTTTAGTGCACTGGAAATACTGAAGTGCAACGCAAGGGTAAATACCATCCCTACCAAAAAAAAAAAAGAATGACCGCAGATCTCACGAACAGTGGGAGGAATTGGATTGGAAACGCCAGGCGTTGTGTGTGTGTGTTTCATGTTCGGTTATTTAGATCTAACTCCGACGATAGATCGGTGATTCTTTGGCAGAAGTAGTGCTTATGAGTAGGTTCACTTTCCTTTGAAATCGCTCAGTCAGAGACTCTAAATTCTGTCTCTAGGCGACAACTCTATCCAGCAATTGGTCGAGGACATCAGAAAGGAGATACCGGTACTCTACAGGGTGGCGGAGGGAATCGCTGTCCTCGACATGGTATGTGTTGGTTGTAGGAGGGCGATGGTGACCCCACCGCACTAGATCTGACGATCATCTGCACAGCTTCTGTCCTTTGCCCAGCTTTGCACCATTCAAGACTACGGTAATGTTGCCTAATGCTGTTCGGCAGTTCAGCTCTCCCTGGAAAACAACGCGTGGGGGGCGTCTAATGGTGTTACAGTTCGCCCAGAGTTTGCGGATACGCTAGCTCTGAAGGCTGGACGTCACCCCATTCGTGAAAAGATACACAGGGATCGATTTGTCCCCAACGACGTGTATGCAAGTCAACAATCTAGGTAAAAATCTTGGAAAGAAATGACTCCATAATAAACTGACGGGAAGCCGATGGCAGGTTCCAGATAATCACCGGTTAGTTCTGTTGGCCCGCCCGTATTGTTACACAGAGAAATCAACGGTTGGGGCATCTAATGTATCTAACGTTTGGTTTGCTAGGATGCAATATGGCGGGGAAGGTATGCTCTAGCCTAAATCAATGACGCGGAAGGTTTTGGCGGCGCTGACTGCCAGCGGTCCGGCCTGCGTCAGTCGACCTATCTTCGATCAATTGCTCTCACCGCGGTTATTGCGCAAATAGGGTCATTGTAAGTTTCTGGTTTCTGTCCTCAAAGTAGCTCGTTTGAGGCTTCGGGTGTAGGAGTAGTCGGTGTGAGGTGATTGGTGACTCCAGCTCATTCCGTGGTACCAAGTGTCCCGGCGCAGTATGCTTCGTTCCCCATAACTCGGCGGCTCTTTGCCCGTGTCTCAATTGACGATGGAATTGAGGCTAATGCCTCTACTTTTGCCTCTGAAATGCGGGAGACCGCCTTTATACTTGGTAATGTTAAGAGAGGAAGCTTGGTAATTATGGATGAACTTGGACGTGGAACCAGCACACGAGACGGTTTGGCACTTGCAGTTGCAATTTGCGAAGCATTAATTGAAAGCAGGGCCCTGGTGTGGTTCGCCACACATTTTAAGGATCTAGCAAGGATACTTGCGCGAAGGGCAGGTGTGGTTAACTTGAATTTGAGGGTTCAGGTAAGATAGTAGATAAAGAAACCCTCGTGCATGCAGAGTTAGCGACTGCTAGGGATCACTCACTTTGTCAAAATTAGATGGAGGACGAGAATATCATAACGATGCTCTACAAGGTTGCTGACGGGGCAGTTGAGGATAAAAATTATGGTGCACACATAATCCCCCCGATCCTATCTCTTCCGCTCTTTTGCCTAGTATCGGGGCATTTCGTGGATTACGCTCATATGGGAGGTGTCTAGGCTTAACCTTGGCAAGACTGGTTGGGTTACCGCAAACCCTGCTAGATCGGGCCACGGCCGTGTCGGAAATGCTCGCTGGAAGACTCGAGAGGAATAGGCGTAAAGCAGGAGTCATTGATCTCTCTAGAAGAAGAAATCTCGTGCTTACCCTCAAGGAAACACTAATCCGTGCCCGGGACGGAAACATGGGAGAAGATGCTCTACGGCCCTGGTTGAGTAGGCTGCAGGATGAATTTGTCAACAGGATGGCGGCTTGGGATGCTGAGGATATGCGTGCATCTGTGGCTACCACCGAAGACGCCGAAGGTTCGGATCAAGTTTTTGCGGGGAGCAATCAAATGGAGGACATCATAGAAATTGATAGTGATGAGAGTGACGATGATGGTGGCCAAGCTAATGACTGTTACTAGCTATTGTTTTTTTCTGCTTGTGATGCGATATTACGTTGACAGGTAATTACACTTAGGGTTGCTTGTGAAGGGATACTTTATTAAAGCCACAAGACCACCTGCTATATTTAGGGAACTGTCATGGAAGACGAGGGGAAATTGTCAGGTTTTAGTCACATGATATCACTCGATCATGGTTATTTTCGGCATTTGTGGCATCTATCCAACCCCCGACCCCATCTGACCCCTTTTTTTTCATGAGCTTAAATAGACGGAGGAAGTTTTGTACCGTACATTCGCGCCGCTCGGTGTTGGGCAACCACCCGTTCCCTCCCTTTCCAACCTCTGCTCCCCCTCCGGGAGTCTTACGATTTAGACCTGCCAGGTGCATGAACGAAACGCCAAGCAAGCGAGTTCGTGACACAGCGGTGTACAGTACACTGTGCCAAGTGCCATGGTGATCGCAAAAGAAAGGTCGGAACGAAACGAATCGCACAAAAAGTTTAACATGGTTAGTTATGATATTTTGGGAGTCTCTGCGTTTAATGGAACGACATGATTTAATTTAGTTCTCTAATCTTTTCCGAGGAAGGAAGGGAGGGAATTGTGACACATTCATCAAAATAAATGAGTGTTTATAACATACAAGTGCCGGTGTTATTGTGTATAAATGGAAATGTTGAGTTGTTGGTCCGGAATGTATGGGGCGATGCTTGCTCGCCTGCTTAATATGTTCCGACATGCTTCCGCGAGATGCCAGTGTGAGTGGGGCGCATCATGTGAGATTACCTAGAGGACCAGATATGGCGTAATGCGGGTAGAATTCCTCCCCCATCCCCTCCCTAGGGCCTATGATTGAAAGATACGCTAGTACGTGATTCTTTAAGCCCTTACTCGTAGAAGCTTTCGACCAGATGGTAGGGCAGCTATCACGTTTTATCACCCGTCATAGAACAGTATCATACCAGGTATAGGATAGGATGGCGGGGCTGAGGGCGGCTAGCCTGTTGCAGTGTCCTTTGTTTTGTTTTTTAGAGGCATTTGGAAGGGTGGCCTAGTACGGAATTCCCCAGTGTAAAGACAGTATCCTAGAGGTAGAATTAGTGAATTCTTTCTTCTCTCCTATTTTCCTCGACTTGGGGTGTTTGAGGGGGTGTTTGGGTTTGTGGGTCCGTTGGGACACCGCATCGGTTTTTAGGAACCCCCTAGTTATTGGTGGAGGGGGGTGGGTGGGTGATTAGCGTTTTCTCGCAGAATCTAGCAGTTTTATCCGCTTGCCGTGGACGGGCGGGTGGTGGTTTTATATCATAGGATGCGGAGAGTGCACAGACCGTGTTCGTGAGGGCGTATTGCACCGCTTCTCAAAGCCCCTGTAAGACCGAGGATGGAGGGGGCCCTCCTACTCGGATACTTACAAGGTGTTTCGTGTGTTTCTACCATACCTTTAGCTTGCCCTGTGGTTCGCTCCCGGTCGTTGTTGCGGCCTGGGTCTGGTTTTTGGGAAAGTTCTTGTCGGGGTATGGGAGTTGACTTGAAAGATGTGGGCGGTGAGCTGACTGTGAACCAACGAAACAGAGTTCTGGTGCTGCTTGGGGGGAGGTTTTGTTCGAAAGGGCTTCAGTATAGAGCTTTGAGGTTATCCACTGAGGCTTTGGGGTGGCAAATAGGACCGAGTCTAGAGTACTTAGAAAAGCTACAGGGGGTGACTAAGATATACCTAGGAGTTCCGTAAACAGGTGTGGTGGTTCTCTCTGGGGAGATTGACGGGAGGTGAGCGGTGGGAGTTGTGGCTTGGTGTGCTGGCAATTCTGTGAACAGCACGGGGGGAGTGTAGGAGTGTAGGAGTGTCGCGGTGCCCTGCTTCGGGTGTCATTTACTCGAGCTGGGCTTCATGATCTATCTCAGGACGCGGCATCGGTTTCTCAGATCACCGGCACGTGCCGCAAGGCCAGAGATGGTTTTGGGATGTTAGGACATCAGTATGTTGGCTATCCGAATCCCCTTTCATACTATTATCCTACTTAGAGATGTCGTCTTTCTAGGACTTGTAAATGTCGGGAGGGTTTTGGTGCAGGTTATGTAGAGCAGAGTGTAGGCCTAGGAATCAATTGCCTGCCGTGGAATCTAGCGGGGGGGCGCGAAAATCCCCCCTGTGGATCATAGGATAGGGGTTTAGGATGATGAAATAATTGCCAATAATGAATCGAGGTCCACAGGAACGTGATTTCGGTAGCACTAACGTCAATCACCGGGAAGTGACACAGAACCGGGAAGTGACACACTTGGCAACCATAGGCAACCAGAGTTAGAAAAGGGAACAACAGAATCAATTCTCAACCAATTTGGACCAAACAAGATGATAATAATTGAGAAAAGATAGGAGAGCTAGCCCATGCCAGAATAGTAAAAAAAAATTATTCTCTACTGAAGAATACTACAAAAAAGAGAGAAAATGTACTAAGAACTAGAAGAAAGAAAAGAGAACAAACTAAGGTACAGGAGTATGTGAGACCATTTATAAAATGGATGCAGATGATCTCCTATTAGTAGAGGTAATATAGAAACTAATTGTTAACTGTGGTTGAAGTTTATAGAGTACAGAAATAGTTAAGGAAACAGTTAATTAAACAGTAAAAATAGTAAAATAGTAGTAAGAGTCGTAGAAGTTCAGAGGGACAGCTTGATTGAAAAAAATAGAAAATATAGGTATGACTCATGGTCAATACACTCAGAATATATGCAATGATCAAGATTTATTATATTTTGGTAGTAGCCGGACTGGTTTTATTATATTTTAAATAGATAGCATTATAGTAACTTATATTACTAGAAAGTTTGTAATAGTTAGTTACCTATACACCATAAACTCTATATGCACTATTTGGAGCATTTACCTATATGATAGAGAACTAAAAAGAAGGTACAGTAGTTATTTCAAATATGCACTCCTCTAGTTTAAGTATTTAGTAATAGTATTTATTGTATTTTAACTTAATTTGATATAGGTGTATATTATTTTTATTCTCAACTTTGAGTTGCTTCAAAACTCCAGAGTATATCATTAGAAACCAGATAGGAATTAGTACATTTCCTCCCAGTTTGGATCTGAGAGAATTGTGGTTAGATTGATCAAGTATATTAGTTGACTATAGAAATAAGTAAAGGGGTAAAGAAAGTATAAACCTTGGAGTATCTCAGAGTAGCTAAACTGTTTAGAGCTATGAATTCCTACTGCTGTATAAGTAGTAGAATACTTAGTACTATTAAAAAGATTTGAGTTGCTAAATAGTGTATTATCTTTCATAATAAGAAGAATTTTGAATTATTACTTAAGTACATCTTCTAGTTTTGAAATAGTAGTAATAAATTAATAATAAATAAAGATTTCTTTACAAGAAAGATAAAAAATCACTATCTAACTGTATGTAAGCAATTTGGAGTACATAGGCAATTAATACTTACAAAATTTACAATAAAACTTACAGTAAAGTTACTGATAAAGAATATAATACAAATAGCTCTACTTCTACTTAAAAATATCAAATTCTAATCAATTCAGATATCCTGAGTGCAGGGACCTTGAACTGAACCTATATTTCACCTCTTAGCCATAGAATTGTCTAACTTAGCTTTTGAGACTCATACCAATATTTTACTAGTTTTGCTGTTGAATTAACTGTTTCCTTAACTATTTCTGTACTCTATAAACTTCAACCACAGTTAACAATTAGTTTCTATATTACCTCTACTAATAGGAGCTCACCTGCATCTATTTTATAAACGGTCTCACATACTCTCGTACCTTAGTTTGTTCTCTTTTCTTTCTTCTAGTTCTTAGTACATTTTCTCTCTTTTTTGTAGTATTCTTTAGTAGAGAATAATTTTTTTTTTTACTATTCTAGCATGGGCTAGCTCTCCTATCTTTTCTCAATTATTATCATCTTGTTTGGTCCAAATTGGTTGAGAATTGATTCTGTTGTTCCCTGTTTTAACTATGGTTGCCTATGGTTGCCAAGTGTGTCACTTCCCGGTTCTGTGTCACTTCCCGGTGCTTGACGTTACCCGTTAAACTTGATTGTTCCTCGAGTGCTCACCCATGACCCAAGCCTTACTAGTGCTGTATCAGACTGTACAGAGGGGTTCACTAAAAATCGGAAACTAAGCGCGGTGAAACAGGGCCAAGAAATTGGATGATCACAAATTCTGGAAAGAATGCTAGGTTATAAGACAGCTTAAAACAACACTTGTTGCACTGAGTGATCAGTAATGCTAGTGGAGCTTGAACAACTTTAAAATACATATGTGTACTAAATGAATGTCCAAATAGAAATATGCATAGAAGGAAAGGAGGCAATGAACATATCAGTAGTGAATGACTCAGATATTTAGATCTGAAAGCTAAACCTAAGCAGAATATGGGCAAAACTTAGATAATTGAAAGATAGCTAGATAGAGATGTGGAAATAAAAACTTAAACAAATGTTTGAGTTGGAAAAGCAATAGGAACTAGGGAGAGAAAGTGCTCGAGGGGTTAAGAAAAAAAAACCCCCCCTGGAACGGGTGCTGGAGAGGGCTAGTGGGGCGGAGCTGGGGGAGGGGGCAGGGGGAGATGGGTAATGATTGATATACGGATAAGGGGTGGAAGTAGGAAGAAAACTTGACAGCAGGAGTGCGAAGAAAAAAAGTCATTGAAAATGACTATCAGAGTAAGGGCCAGGAAAGTGGAATACATAACCCTTGTCTCTATAGTACAGGAACTTGAATAGTTAGGTGAAAACTTGATCCTACCAGTATGTAGGTCTCCCATTGGTGGCTAAGAGGTTAGAAATTCGGTATGGCATAGAGGTAGTATGCTGCGATCTTGGCAGGGGTGATTTTATTCCATTCAGCCTAGATAGCCATTAGGAGCTCAGGAACAGTACTGGGGTGAGGGTGAAGATTAGAGATCTGGTGTTCGAAAAGACACCAGATTGCTTCTGTAGGACTCATATCAGGGGAAGAAGCTGGCCAAGGAAAGAGATAGTTTTACATCCCTAGGGATTGGAATTCATTGAGGGTACAGCGGAAAACATGGGAAGACGGATTATCTTGTTAGAAGTAAATGTAACCAGAGGTTGTAGTTTCAGCTGATTGTAAAGTAAGCCACCAAGGAAGGATATGTGGGTGTAGGATATGCTGAATAAAGGTTGAACTGTTAACAAGGCCC